TGATGAGGATAAAAAGATTAGGTGATGTAAGATTGGATATCAAATTGGAGGGAGAGAGTATGGAAGAGGTGAATGTATTCAGATATGTAGAAGTGGACATGTCAGCAGATGGGTCTCTGAAGGATGAGGTGAATCATAGAATTGATGAGGGGAAAAGGGTGAGTGGTGCACTTAGGAATCTGTGGAGACAAAGAACTTTGTCCGTGGAAGCAAAGAGGGGAATGTATGAGAGTATAGTTGTACCAACACTCTTGTATGGGTGTGAAGCATGGGTGATGAATGTTGCAATGAGGAGGAGGCTGGAGGCAGCGGAGATGTCATGTCTGAGGGCAATGTGTGGTGTGAATATAATGCAGAGAATTCGTAGGTTGGAAATTAAGAGAAGGTGTGGGATTACCAAAACTATTATCCAGAGGGCTGAGGAGGGGTTGTTGAGGTGGTTTGGACATGTAGAGAGAATAGAACAAAACAGAATGACTTTGAGAGTGTATAAATCTGGAGTGGAGGGAAGGCAGGGTAGGGGTCAGCCTGGGAAGGGTTGGAGGGAGGGAGTAAAAGAGGTTTTGTGTGCGAGGGGCTTAGACCTCCAACAAGCATGTGTAAACAAATTTGATCGGAGTAAATGGTTTGTGGAGTTGGTTTGTCTTATTTCATCTGCCTAGATGACATCCTAGTAGAGCTGAGCATTTTTTAATGTAATGCTGTATTGATAATAAAAATGGGAATATAGTTCAGTCTTGTTATTGTGTGTATTATAGGCTCATCACAGAATAATGAAGTGCTTGTTAGAAGATTGAATTTTGTGGCTTCTTCCAAGCCACTGGGACCCCTGTTTGGCTTAGGGTAGTGAATGATGAAAATGTACTTCTTGGCCTAGCTCATTTGCTGCAGGTATGATTCTATGTCATTACTTTGCTTTATACATGACTCCTTGGCATAGCTTCTGAGGGTGCACATATCATGGCTGGCAACCTTACAGCCTCCACACAACATCAGTGTGAGTTGTATACCAGGCATTTAAAACCAGGGTAGCCATACATTGTATTGTAGACTAGGGTAGCCAACCATTAGGGTTATAACTTTTTTACAACGTATTATTCCTGTACCTTAATCAGATGAACTTTTGCCTGAAAGCAAAGAAATGACCTTTCATTTCAGTATCTTTTTAGAAAATGTCACCCCTACATGAAAAGAAAATGAGTAATGAAAACAAGTAACTTGAATGCATCTAACATCTTACAGCATCATTATTATCATGTTTGTTTGTATATTACTACTTATTGCTTAGAATAAACTGAAGTTGAAGTTTGTTTTTGTTTCTGCAGGTAGCATACAGTTCCTGCATAACTTTGATTACATGTTTAGCACTGTTATGCAGAAATGTGGGATAGCTGGGGACTAGAGCCTTTCCTAAGGGCAAAGGTAAAAGTTACACACATCTCAAGCATAAACAGGCCACCCAGGGCTATCCTAGTCATAACAGAAAGCACTAAACGAATATTTTTTACTTCAATGGGTTGGTTAACAGAGGGTTAGGCAAAAATCCTAAGTAGGAAAATATATCTATTTATTCAACATAACACTATATACACACTCTAGAAAACACCTTCATGTATCTCCTATCCTAAACGCCCAAATAGCGGGCACAAGAAGCAGGCGGCTGGTGGTCCAGCAGCCATAAACACTCGGCCTAGTCAGCACCAGGCCTTCACTACTCCAATACTGACCCCATTTCTTATTTCCTCACTCATCCCACAGCACCCTGACCATGTCAGAGCCTAGGTGAGCATACCGGTAAGCCATAGAAGAGCCTATGGCTTGAGTTAGCTAAACAAAAGGAGTACACCACTACAAAATTTAGCTTAAATACACAGCATCTCCGACGCCAGCCTCCATGCCATGCAGACCCCGCGTGTCTCCCCCACGCTTATCCGCTCACCCCCAAACACAGTTAGAAAATAAATCCCTGGCAGGATTTCTTTATAATTTACATTAGAGCACTTTACAGTACCCCCAAATGCACATTATGAATTATAAAATTATGCTTTACAATTATAACATTCATACTATTATGGTACCCTTCTCTACTGTATATACATAACACCCCATAACAAGCACACTGATTACTTCTTGATATATTGAGTGTGGATGGCTCTTGCTTCCAGTAATTTTTTCAGTTAGTTCAGTGCAGTTTTGTAAGGTTTCAATATTTCTGACAAATTCTTGAAGTCATTTTCATTGTACATCTGATCAGTAAACCAATAATCTGTCCAGGTGTATGAAATTAATTTGCATATCTTCTCCAAAGTCTTCCATCTTGTAGGTATAAGAAGGAATGCAAGAATAGCTAGAATGGCTCTTGAATCGCACCTCGCATTGCTGATGTTTGGAATTTTTTGAAAGTTAACCAAAGGAAAGTGCCCTTTTTCTTCAAAGAATCTAAACACTCATGTTAGATGGTACAAACACTTCATATCATCTCTCCATCCTGATTTATGGAGGATCTCTTCTGTTCCATTAACAAACTTTGCCTTTAGTACCTCATAATTCTTCACCAGTTGGGATACAAATGGATACTTGATGTTTGGAGAACTGGTTTTAGCACCAAAATTTTCATCCATTACCAAATGGAGAATCCTCTCCAGAGTGTGATGCTGACAACTGATAAATTGTGGTTTGCTAATCCCCTTCTCTGAGAACATTCATTGCATCTGAACAACAGATCCACTCTTTTTCCCTGTGTTAACAATTGTTGTATCAGCAGTGATCATCTTTATTGCATTCCATAAGTTGTATTCATCAGTAACTTTTGCTATTCTTTCAGCAATAGTTTCAGCCTTGCCATTTTTCAAATGCAGTGCATCCAGTTTTACTTTGGTTCTTTCATTTTTAAGTACTAGTACCTGATACTCATATTCCTCAATGTGCTTTCCATTGAAATGTAAAGACCATTCTTCCATTTTAACAATCATTTTCTCCTTCAATTTAGCAGCCTCTTTGTATGTTGACTTGTAAATTGCTTCTTGACTTGGTGTAGGAATGTCAGTGCCATCAAATGACAACTGTTTGCATATCTTGGTGGCTTTACTTGTTAATACTTTTGTGGATGTCACCAAATTGGTTGCAACTTTACTTTCGTTGTGTTTTCTGGTTGGTGGAGTAGTACTTTCATCTTCATCTTCATACTCGCTCTCTTCAGATTCATTACCACTGTCACTCGATGCACAATCGTAAGATGTTGATGCTGAAGCTGATTCAGCAGGCAGTTTCTGTCTTTTTGAAGGATGAATAGTTTTTTCACTTGCAACTTGACTTGTAGAGTACCCCACTTCTCCTTTGCTTTCCACTTGAAGCTGGCACAGCTTTTTTGTCTTCAGAGGATAACCATTGGCCATTTACTTTTGTGATATCAAAAAGTTCATTCAGGGCATCATAGTTTTCCCTCCTGACACATTCATCATAAGTCTTCATCACCTTGTCAAGTTTTACTCGTATTACTTGATCTGACACGTGGAAAATTCGGTTTATTCCTTCATAATTTTGTAACTGCTTTGGAAATTTTCTCTATTCACTCCTTTCTTCCTTTGATTTCTACTCCAAGAAAGTCCAATGATTTTGGGTGGGAGAGGTATTCTCCATTAATATTTTTCATTCATTTGAGTTGCCAATTAGTACTTTCCTGAGTTGCTAATTATGATAGTAATGCAGATAAATGTTGATTCATAGTTTTTGTTTAGGGGTGACCTTTTTTTGAAAACTGAGGAATTAGAGGCTTTTTCATTGTTTTTAAACAAAAGTTTATCGATTTATGACACAGGAGATGTTTTATTTGGAGAAAAGTAAAAAAGTTATAACCCTAGTAGCCATACAATGTATTGCAGATCAGGGTAGCCACACAATGTATTTTAGACCAGGGTAGTTACACAATATATTGTACACTAAGGTAGCCACATTAACCCTTTCGGTATCGGTCCCATTATATCACGGCTTTGAAGTCATTGTCAATCCCGTAGTATGACGCCATGTGCTCAGCTCACTCATATTAGTTGTGAGCAGTAAATTTGGGCCTAGATATGAGAGATGGGTCTATGTGGTAAATGTGCACCATATAAAAAAAATCCATGCAGCACGCAGTGCATAATATAAAAAAAATGTGACCGTGTTTTTGGGTTAAAACAGCAACTTTGCAGGTGTATTTTTGTTTGGTTTTTATAGTTGTATTCTAGGTTTCTTGGTCTCATTTGACAAAACAGAAGAATATTATAGAAATAGAGATGATTTTGATAAGTTTTGGGACTGAAAGTAGCTTGAAATTGAGGTCAAAGTAGTGGAAATGTTCTATTTTTGTTGACATTCCAGAATGCACAAATGAAGTCACTTATCCAATATGCATCCAACTGGCCAGTCTAATATGCATTTAGGAATGCACTGACATTATTTATACAATTATTACAATAATGCAGTCTGTAAGAGTAAATTTTCTAATTTTTGTGTGAATAAAAATTCAAAATGAAAGCAAGCATAATATAAGAGGGGCCTGGAGATGTGACTAAGGAACAGAGGAAATGTTTATTTAGTGCCAGGAATGTCTACATTGTTCATTCTGGACCCTATTTTCAAATTTGCAATTGTTGAATTTTGTATGAACTTGGCCAAATTACTGATTTCTGATCACTTTATTGGGTAGTTGAAATAGGTAAATGGGCAGTTTCTTGTACTCATTTCATAGAATAGAAAGAGTACTAGCAAAATAGCTGAGTTTGGTCACCTGGGACAAAGGAATTGGCTAAAATTAGAGCATAAATTGGGAGAAATTGCTGATGCGTAAATATAGCCGAGACCACTAACTTTGCGAGAGCATAATTCTGTAAGTTTTCCCTCAAATTGTGTACTTTTGGTTTCATTACCTTTGGAAAAAATTCTCTATCATTTCTTAAGATAATTTTTTTTTTTTTTTTTTTTTTTTTTTTTTTTTGAAAATTCTTCAACCCTGGGAGCAAGTTTGCAAGCAGGGGATGCGACACTGAAAGGAGTGGAGTGCTCTTATGAAAAAAGAGCACTCCACATTTTGTAAGTACATCACTAAATTTGTGATCATATTTCCATGTAGACCTAGGTAGTAGGTTGGTAGACAGCAGCCACCCAGGGAGGTACCACCGTCCTGCCAAGTGAGTGTAAAACGGAAGCCTGTATTTGTTTTACATGATGGTAGGATTGCTGGTGTCTTTTGTCTGTCTCATAAACATGCAAGATTTCAGGTATGTCTTGCTACTTCTACTTACACTTAGGTCACACTACACATACATGTACAAGCATATACACACCCCTCTGAGTTTTCTTCTATTTTCTTTCTAGTTCTTGTTCTTGTTTATTTCCTCTTATCTCCATGGGGAAGTGGAAGAGAATTCTTCCTCCGTAAGCCATGTGTGTTGTAAGAGGCGACTAAAATGCCGGGAGCAATGGGCTAGTAACCCCTTCTCCTGTATAAATTACTAAATTTAAAAAGAGAAACTTTCATTTTTCTTTTTGGGCCACCCTGCCTTGGTGGGATACGGCCAGTTTATTGAAAGAAGAAGAAAGATTTCCATGTAGACCTAGGTAGTAGGTTGGTAGACAGCAGCCACCCAGGAAGGTACAGTGGTACTCCGAGCTTTGAACTGCTTCCAACTCGACCAATTATGTAAGTGTATTATTGTAAGTGCTTATGTAAGTGTATTTTTGGGGTCTGAAATTGACAAATCTAATTTACATTATTCTTTATGGGAACAAATTTGTTTGGTAACGACACTTAAACAGCCTTCTGGAATGAAGAAAGTTCGAAACTCGGGGTACCACTGTACTACTGTCTTGCCAAGTGAGTGTGAAATGGAAACCTGTAATTGTTTTACATGATGGTAGGATTGCTGTTGTCTTTTCTGTCTCATAAACATGTGGGATAACAGGTATATCTTGCTACTTCTACTCACACTTAGGTCACACTACACATGCATGTACAAGCATATATTTTTATGCACCCATCTGGGTTTTCTTCTGTTTTCATAATAGTTCTGGTTCTTCTTTATTTTCTCATTTCTCCATGGAGAAGTGGAACAGAATTCTTCCTCCGTAAGCCATGCGTGTTGGATGAGGTGACTATAATCCCGGGAGCAAGGGGATAGTAACCCCTTCTCCTGTATAAATTTCTAAATGTAGAAAGAAAGATTTTTCTTTTTGGGGCACCCTGCCTCAGTGGGATATGGCTGGTTTGTTAAAAAAAAAAATTCATATAGACTTGTTCCACACAAGCAAGGCAGTATGCACAATAGATGTATGTTATACAGATGTGCCTTAAGGGAAACCCATTACCCTTTTTGGGCCTTTTCATTTAAATTATTTTAAATGTTTGTTTCTGGAAAAAATTGTCTTAATCTTGGGCGGAGATTAATTTTCCAGTAGCCATGTGTATTGACATAGGTGCCCAAAACACCGCAGCAAAAGCTGTTGACCCCTTTTCCTTGTAATTCATTATGCAAAAAAAAAAGGAAGTAGAGGGAACCTTGGTTACGAAGCCCCATCATAAAATTTTTCCCGGATACAAGCCATCTTTGGGTTGTTTTTTTGCTTTAGGTACAGCGAAATTTTGGGATGCGAATTTCCCCAAAGGGGGTTTCCCTTACCCATAAACGCCCCTAACTTTAATATAAGTTCTACCCGAGTCCCCCGAATATTTTGAAAAAAAAAAAGTCGTTTTTTTTTTTTATGGAAAAAGAACACATTTTTGTAAGTGTTTAAGAAAAAAAAAAAAATTTAGGGTCAGTTTACAGAGATATGGGGCCAGAAGTTGGCAGGATGCCACTGACGGCAACATCGAGTCTGCCCTTGCGAAGTGTTACCGATATCCCTTTTTTTTCTTTTTTTCATATTACAGGGGACCCTCAAATTTCGATACTAATCCTTTCCTGGAGCTATCGAATGTCGAAAATATAAAAAGCAAATTTAAATTTTTTCCCCATAAGAAATAATGGAAAAAATTACCCGGGCAACACACGCAAAAGTATGAAAAAAAAAATTACCACAGAAATATTAAGTTTAATAAAATAGAATAATTACAATAACAAAAATAACAATAATTAAAACAATAGAAAAAAGACACTTACCTTTAATAAAGATTGGTGAGTTTGAGGGAGGGGGGAGGGGAGGGTTAGAGGGGTTTTAGTGTTTAAAGGGGGAACCCCCTTCCTTTTAGGACTTGAACTGCAGCCTCACCAGCCTTCCCACACTTGTATCCACTACATTTTTAAAATTTTTAAAACCAACTTTGTTGGCCTTAAATTCACTCACATCACCACTAGTTGCAGGCAATTTCTTTCCAAATCATTAATCCGCACACGCACTCCACTTTGTACTTTGCAATTATTTCTTTCTTCTTTCAATAGCATTAGCACCTTTTTTCTCAAAGGGGTTTAAAACAACAAAAAAACAACAAAATTTATTCTTTTAAAAAGGGGATTCAATGCTGAGTTTACGAAATTTGGTTATTGTGTGGTTTACTGTAGTAAAATTTGATTACAGTGTCCACTAGAACGCTTAGCAGGCTGGCTTTCGGGCAGACTTATTTTATTCTTAATTGTAAAATATTAAAATTATGAGGAAAAGTTGGTATTAGGGGCTAAGTGACTAAATACTTTTTTGGGAATTTTTGCAAGTGAATGCTTTTTTTTTTGACCAGTACATATTTTTCAGTATTGGGAATAAAGGGTTTCATTTTTTAAGATTGGGGTTTAAATATTTCTGTTTATGGTCAAATGATGGTGAGTGTAAGTTAAACCCACCAGGTGGTATTCGTGTAGTTATTTGAGGGGTGTATCGGGAGAAAGGTTTTCAAGGAAAGTTTTGAAGGTGATAAATGTGTCTGCAGTTAAAAGGTTCTCAGGTGGGGGTTTTCCCAGATTTTGGGGCCTTTGTTACTTAAATTTTTTGAAAAGGTTTTATGGCAGGGGGAATGTGTAGGTGTTTTGTCTGGTGTTATGCCTTGGGTTCGTCACAACTATCAAAAAAGCTTTTTTGGTCAAGGGTTATATTAGATTTTAAGGCCCTGTGTGAAATTTGAATAGTAAGTGTGGATGTACTGACTGGAGAAATTTTAGGTCATGAAGAGGGGGGGGGTGTTTGCAGGGATGGGATTTATGTTTTATTCTTACTGCAGTTTTTTGTTGGGGTTATTTTTGGGTTTTAGGTGTGTGCTGCGTTGATCCCCAAGCAAAAATACATAGGTGGGGTTTGGATAAATAAGTGAGGGGTATAGTGTGAGAAAGGGCATTTTGGGGCACGTGTATGTATCGGGAGAGGATCCACCATTTTGGTACTTTTTTGGTTATATGCGGGATATGGGTGCGAAATTCGGTTTTTTGTCAAGGTAAAGCCTAGGAATTTTCCCCCCATTATTCGGGTTTTTGAGTGTTGTAAATTTATGTTAATTTGTGCTCTCCTGCTCTCTCCCAAAAACTAAATAGTAGGTTTTGTCGTGTTAAGGTAAGTTTATGGCGTCATCCAAGCGATATTTTTAAACAGCTCCTCATTCACAATGGGGTTGAGGGGGGAAGTTAGGGTGAGAAGATGACATAAGTCGTGTCATAGCAAAGAGAATGGGTTTCAGGGGTTGGGATACGTTTGGGAAAGGGCTTGAGTAAGAGGAAAAAGCAGGGGCCAAGGACACTTCCCGCGGAAACTCCAGTATCAAGTGCCCCTTTTTTTGATGCTGTGTCTTTAAAGGTGACGTACTGAAACCCTTAGTAATGTAAGATTTGAAATAAGCAAACGCATGCCCCTTATACCGTAAAGATCAAGTTTGTGGAGTAGGGTGGTGGTCTACGTGTCAAAAGCTTTTCTTTGGTCAAAAAAATTTTCCCCATGGAATTCCCTTTTTTTCCAATGCTGTGTAAAAACGATCTAGCATTTTTATGATTATATCATTAGTGCTTTTTTTTTCCCGAATCCAATTGGCAGGGGTTGGTATGTTTTGAGCCCTTTTAATGAATACATCTCCGTGCCGAGTTTCTCAAAGATTTTGGATAGCATGGTAGTTTGTATTGGCCCATGTTGTTTAAGTCGTAGGGTCACCCCCTTTTTATGGTGTAACCCCCTTTCCATCTTTAGTAGTTTCGGGGAAAGGGCTAGTCTCTAGTGACTTGTTAAAAATAAAGAAAAAAGCATGCGAAAGGACTGGGCCGCTCGCTTTACAGTATGGTGGGGCTGAGACAGATTCCTGAGTTATTTTTAAGTGACTTTATAAACTCAGTGCTTCCGTGGCTCGTTGGTTTAAGAAGAAGGAATTGGAAATTCCCATTAGGTAGTCCCCGGCATGGGGATTTGGGATGTGGGATTTTTCTGGCGAGATTGATTATGGTTAGAAGAAGTCGTTTTTTTGTTACTGAAAATTTTAAAAAGGTTAAAAACCCCAGATTTTTAGGTAAAACCATATGCAACGTTAGGTACTTTATTTTGAAAAATTTCGCCTACACAGAGGGGTTTTTCAGTCGGTCAGAAAAGTTGATAGAAACGGAAGATACTTGAAGCGATGTAACATCCCCCACCCCCTTAAAATTTTGAGGGGGTCATCCCTCAGTTGGAGAAGGCATTGTTTCGAAAAAGGAAAATGCTTCTCCAGACTGAGGGATGACCCCCTCAAAACCCTTTTAAAGGGTGTGGACTGATTAATCGTCTTTAAAGTATTTCTGCTTCCCTCAATTTTCTGTACTCGACTGAAGAAAACCCACTGTGTGGCGAAGTTTTTGAAATAAAAATACCTACTGTTGATATGTTTCTTCCCAACAATCTTGTTAGCTGGTCAGTGGGATTTAGTGGGTTTCATTAGGTTAGTTTGGGAAAATATCTTGGGTTTTTTTTTAGTTTTGTGGGGCCCTAGAATCTGAGGAGTGTTTTTTCCCGGTTTTTTTTTAATCTCCCTTGTCTGTGAATTGCTGGGTAGTATGTTTTTTTGGCTTTTTTTTATTACTTTGGTGAGAGCTGATGAATAGTGTTTAGAATATCTTTTTTATTAAACCCCGTTTTATTTCTTTTCATTTGGTGTT